GTGAAGAAGCAGCCCACAGAGTGGGAGAAAATATTTGCAAATCATATATCTGATAAGGAACCTGTATCTAGAACAACTCCACAGTAAAAGATGAATAATACAATTTAAAAATGAGCAGAGGCTTTGACCAGACATTTCTCCAAGGAAGATATACAAATAGCCAATAAAAACATGAAAAGATGCTGAACATCATTAGCTACCAGGGAACTGCAAATCAAAACCACAATGAGATAGCACTTCACACCTGCTGCAATGCCTATAATCAGACAGATAATGTGTGTAGACAAGGGTATGGAGAAACCATAATCCTCATATGCTGCTGCTGGGAATGTAAGATGGGATAGCCACTGTGGGAAATACAGTCTGGCAGTTCCTCAAAAGATTAAACAGAGTTACCCCATGACCTAGCAATTCTACTTCTACATATATGCCCAAAAGAAATGAGAACATGTCCTCACAAAAAGCTATACACGAATGCTGATAACAGCATTACTCCTAACAGCAAAAAAGCAGGAACAATTCAAATGTCCATCACCTGATGCATAAAGAAAATACTATATATACATACAATGGAACACTATTCAACATGAATAGAAATGAAGTACTGATTAATGCTACAATGTGGATGGACCTTGAAAACATGATGCTAAGTAAAAGAAGACAGACATGGCTAGGTGCAGTGGCTCATGCCTGTAATCCCAGCACTTTGGGAGGCCTAGGCATGCGGATCACCTGAGGTCAGGAGTTTGAGACCAGCCTGATCAACATGGTGAAACCCTGTCTCTACTAAAAATACAAAAATTAGCCAGGTGTGGTGGCAGGCACCTGCAATCCCAGCTACCCAGGAGGCTGAGGCAGAAGAATTGCTGGAACTCAGAAGGCAGAGGCTGCAGTGAGCTGGGATCACGCCACTGCACTCCAGTCTGGGGGACAGGGCAAGACACTCTGTCAAAAAAAAAAAAAAAAAGGTATCCTGAGAGTGACAGTGTAATTTATATATATAAAAAAAAAAAAGCCAGACACAAAAGACTACATATTGTCAGATTTCACTGATATGTGTCCAGAATATGCAAATCCATAAAAGTAGAATGCATAACAGGGTTTGCCAGAGGCTGATGGAGGATGAAAATAGGGAGTGGTTGCTAATGGGCACAGAGATTTAGGATAAAAATGCTCTGGAATTAAATAGCAGTGATGATTGTACAACCTTCTGAGTATACTAAAAACAACCAAATTGAACACTTTATTATTTTTTTTGAGACAAAGTCTTACTTTGTCACCCAGGCTAGAGTGCAAAGGCACCATCTCAGGTCACTGCAATATCCACCACCCGGGTTCAAGTGATTCTTCTGCCTTATCCTCCTGAGTAGCTGGAATTACAGGTACCCGCCACCATGCCCAGCTAATTTTTGTATTTTAATTTAATAAATAATTTTTTGAGATGGAGTTTCACTCTTATCGGCCAAGCTGGAGTGCAATGGCGCCATCTCGGTTCACTGCAACCTCTGCCTCCTGGGTTCAAGTGATTCTCCTGCCTCAGTCTCCTAAGCAGCTGGAATTACTGGCACCCACCACCACGCCCAGCTTATTTTTTATATTTAATAGAGACAGGGTTTCGCCATGTTAGCCAGGCTGGTCTTAAATTCCTGACCTCAGGTGATTCGCCTGCCTTGGTATCCCAAAATGCTGGGATTACAGGTGTGAGACATAGCATCTGGCCTAATTTTTGTATTTTTAGTAGAGATGGGGTTTTACCATGTTGGCCAGGCTGGTCTCGAACTCCTGGCCTTAAGTGATCTGCCTGCCTTGGCCTTCCAAAGTGCTGGGATCACAGATGTGAGCCACCATGCCGGCCTGAACACTTTGAAATGGTGGGTTTTATGATATGTGAATCATATCTCAATAAACTTTTAAAAAATGTCAGCTGGGCGCGGGGGCTTATGCCTGTAATCCCAGCACTTTGGGAGGCCGAGGCAGGCAGATCACAAGGTCAAGAAATTTAGACCATCCTGGCCAACATGATGAAACCCTCTCTCTACTAAAAATACAAAAAAATTAGCTGGGGCCGGGCGCGGTGGCTCAAGCCTGTAATCCCAGCACTTTGGGAGGCTGAGGCGGGTGGATCACGAGGTCAAGAGATTGAGACCATCCTGGTCAACA